TTATTAGGGTAGATTATCATTATTATATGATTAAACCTGGGCACCGTGCCGGGCCGGGCCGCCGCGGGCCGTGCCTGGCGGGCCACGGGCTGGTTCGTGCCGTGCCCAGGATTTCGTGCCGTGTCGTGCCGGCCATTTTCACAGGCCAGCCCACGGCACGGCACGGCCCTCGTGCCTGGCGGGCTCGTGCCGGCCTGCGGGCTGGCCTGCGGGCTGGTGCAGTTTTCAAATAATTTTTTTTTTTTTTTTTTATATGACAACATTATAAATTAATAAGTTTATAATGTATATAAGTTATAAAATATAATTATAAGTTTTATAAGGTTATAACTTATAAGTTATTAAGTTATGAATTTTATAATTATAAGTTGAATATTTATGTTTTATAATTTGTATATTCAATATTTATATTTATATATTTACTTTATACTATTACTTTAAAATTTAATGTTTATGGTTTATTAGTAATTGGTATAATTTTATTTTTTTTTAATATGAATTTACAAATTGTAACAAAACGGGGAAAAAAGGCAAATTGGACTTTGGATGTGAATAATGCGTACTTTATATTATTATTACTTGAGTTGAGAAAATTGTACAATGATAACAATGATAAAAATCATACAATGATGGTATTAAACAAAAATTGGAAAATGATAAAATTGATATTTTTAAAATCGTACAATATACAATAATTGTCTATTCTTCTTCTCCTTCTTCTTGCTCGTCTTCGTCTTCGCCTTCGCCTTCAAGGTCATCGGCTAGTTGCATAGATTGGGAACTAGCCGAACCCGAACCGGAAGCGGAGGTTCCTTCTTCGTTGTCGTTGTGGTCGTAAGAACGGTCTTGTGAGCGATTTTCCGCATCCAACCAATCTTTGAAACACACGCACATTTCTAGTGTTTCGGGTTTTAGACTTGTTCTTCTATCGTCTAAAACCCTTCCGGATGCGCTGAAAGCTCGTTCGGAGGCGACGGAGGAAACTTGGATAGCAAGAATGTCTCGTGCCATTGCCGCCAAAGTTGGATGCTTCGAGCTTTGTTGTTTCCACCATGCAAGGAGGTCGAGGCTGTTTATCTCATCGTCGTCCATGCCTTTGGTGAAGTCGTAACTCAGGTACATCTTCAACTCCAAGACGTCGCTTTGCGTTCTCCTGATTGATGAATCACCTGAAAACCTTGAAATCAAGTTAGTAGCTTGTGAAAATAAATGTTTGGCCTTCTTACTTACGTTTTTGGATGGTTGGGAAGGCCCTGAGCGAGGAACGGTGCCATATTTGGCTTCATAGACTCTATATAAAGCAAAAAACTGATCCTTCACATTAGTCTTATAGTTTTCTACATCATCGTCAAGAAACATGCATTGAAAGTAAATGTCAACTAACATAAATGTGTTTTCATACTTTTGCCTAGGATCTAATATGGAAGCAAAAATATAAATCAAAGGAATCTCACTATAATATTTACGCCACTTTTTTTCCATTGCTGGAAGATACTGATCATAATCACTTTGATCGCGATGATCAGCGAAAAGTTGGGCGAGTAAGCATGCATTAGAAAGAAAGTTTTGAGCACAAGGATTGTAAACAGTAGAAAAACAATACGTCATGTTATATAATAACTGTAAAAATTATATATATCTTTCACAGTTATTCCAATCATCATCATACAAAGCATTTTGTGGAAATTTTTGGTTGTAAAATAATGTTAACGGGCCCTTGTACTCAATTGCCTTTGTTAACATGTCATAGGTGGAATTCCACCTAGTTGGGCAATCGGTTCTAATTTTTATTACCCTTATCTTTTGTTGTTTTAGAAAACTCTTCCATTCTTGGTATCTCATGTTAGAGCTATTAATAGACATAATAGCATCTCTGATTTTGCTGTAGTATGGGCCAATTGCCCGAACTCCATCCTGTACACATAAGTTAAGTACATGGCAAACACATCTAGTATGAAGAGCTTCACCGTCTAATAGTACATCGGTTAAGTTTTGTTTGATAAGATTAGCTGTGTATGTCATAGAGGTTGCATTATCAAAAGTCATAGACATCATTTTATCTCGAAGGTTGTATTCGTCTATTGCTTGCATTAAATGGTGAGCAATGTTAATGCCGGTGTGTGGGTATTCCAGCATTTTGAAATGTATTATTCTTTTTTGTAACATCCATTGATCATCTACCCAATGGCAAGTCACACATAAATAGTGATATTTATAACCACTATCCCAAGAATCGGCTGTTAAAGATACTCTACAGTTAAGGTTACTCAATTCGGCTTGTAACCGGACTTTGTACTCTAGGAAATTTTTCATTGCGGCGGAACGAACGGTTTTCCTAGAGATTCTTTTATGTTGGGGTTGTAGTGCTTTGTTAATGTAGGTGTTGAATGCGTCACTTTCCGAGAAAAGAAAAGGTTGTTCGGCGTGTACTATCATTTTTCCTAGTTCATCCCTATCCCTCTCATAGTTGTATGTAAAGCCGTATGGATGGAATTGGGATATTTTGGGCTGGGTTGGATCACTAGCTGGTTTTGCACAAGCTTTCATGTGTCTAGATAAGTGTCCCGTCCCGTTTTTGGTAACTGCCGTGAATACACTATTACATGTTTTACATTTTGCCCATTGTTCACCATCTTTACTTAGGACAAAATAACGCCATACCTCACTCCTTCGGTTATTCAAAAGTAGCATCTCAGTTTCGGTTAACCATTCATGATGTGTGTGATGGTTAGTAGTGGGACTAGTGGGAGTGGCAGTAGAAGGGGTAGAACCGGAGGGAATTCGGGTACTTTCTTGGCTACCTTGGCTAGAACAATAGTTTTGTTGATCACCGATATAATTAGGTGGAAATTGGTATGGTGGTAGTGGAAATTGGTTTAGTGGTGGTGCTGGAAATCCCGACGTATTATATGACTCATAGCCCGGGGGGAAGTAAATGGGGTCATTGGTTTGACTCGTAATTTGGGGGCTCGTTGTATTTGGTGGTTCCCTAGAACTACTACTACGGATAAGTCGGCCTTTCCCCCTAGACCTAGATGATGGGTTGTTCGATGCCATAATTAACAATTAATTTTTTAATAAAAAGTGGTTAACTATAATAATAATAATTAATAACAACAATTTTAACAATAAAAATATCAATAATATTAATTAATAACAACAACTATAACAATAACAATAACAACAAAAATAAATAATAACAACAATTGTAACAATAATAATAATTAATAACAACAATTATAACAACAACAATAACAATTAACAACAATAATAATAATTAAACAAGATTATTCTAATAATAACAATAAAACAATAATAAATTTAAGATTAGTTTAGATCTTACAACCGTGCTTCAACGCTCCACTAATTACGATTACGAACTTTTTAATTTTTTCCGATATTAGAAAAATAATTAGAGAATTTAAGAGAATAGTTAGAGAATTTAAGAAAATAAGGATTATTAGAGATTTAGAGAATATAAGAGATAAGAAGAAGAGATTGTGATTTTGTGATTTGGGAATGAAATGGAGGTGAGTATTTATAGAATTTTTAGGGAGCAAATTGGCAAAAAACTAGCCGTTTTTTAGCCGTTTTTTTTGGCTTATTAAGGAGCTAGAATAAAAGGTAACATTACCGTTGGCCCGCGGGCCGTGCCTACGGGCCGGCACGACGGGCCATGCCCGTGCTCGTGCCGGGCCGTGCCTGGGAATTCTCAACCCTGTCCGTGGCACGGGAGTTGAACTTCGTGCCGTGTCGTGCTTGAATTCGGGCCGTGCCGGGCGGCACGCGGGCCAACCCGGCCCGTGCCCAGGTTTATGTATGATCTTCTATGATTTCTATTAATCTGAAAAGATATGAATATTAGGAGGAGGATATTGTGAGAATCGAAAAAACTAATTGATTGCAATTTAGCTTTTTTCACATTCATATCTTTGTTGAAAAATGTAAGTTTAATCTCTCAGTTTTTTTCTTATCAACATTTTACTTTTTATGGTCAAATTTATCCTGTTCAATAATCATTTATATGTTATTAATTTACAAAAAAAAAATACAATGATAATTCATATGTCAATAAATATTACGGATTATTATTCACCTAAATTGTACATACGTCTTCAATAGTATTTAAAATAAATAAATTAAAAATAATATCATAATTACAACGCCGTAAGAAATTAAAAAATAATCATTCATAGTATTAATTAGGGGTTAATGGAATAGTAATCCTCATTTTGTTTACTTATATTCTTACTTCCCATACAATAATTTATACTCATACATGCATGTTTCCACAATTCCACACACAATATAATTAAACAATTTAATCAAAATTGTTTATGGGAATGAAGTCTTCATCAAGAATTAGGTAAACTCCACCATATTATGACCATTTTCCTCGTGAAAATTATCATCATTTGGTCACATAAAGACCACTATAACTTTTCATATATCACAATCTCTTAAATAGGTTAAATGTTATAGTCAATCACCTTGACAATCCCGAACATCCCTCAATTTTACTGGTTTTTGGAGATAGTTTTATTTACTATTACTAGTGCATGTATTTTACATACATCACATCATTAAATTTGACCCAAAGTTTTCATATATATATATATTTTTTTAACTTCATAGTAATCTTTTCATGACTTCCCATATAAGAAAATAATAGTTCGTCACTTAATATTGTCACACGAGTAGTAGTGGACGAGAATTGATTGAACACGTACATACACTATTATTGTAATTGTAATAGTCAAACTATGGAATTGTGTAAATCTTCTTGAGGAGAGTATTCTCATTAAGTCATATATATAGGTAATTACAAGACCTAATACAAGGGGAATACTCCTTTACATCAATACACAAAATATCTACCGAGAATGCATAAGGTCATTCTCTAACACACCCTCGCAGTCGAAGCGGGAAGAGGTTGGACGCTAAGACTGGACCTATAGGAAGAGCTGCCGAGGTAAGCCCTTGGTGAAAATATCCGCGTACTAATACGAATAGGGAACATGAAGAACCCGAATATGCCTAATAGCAACCTTTTCTCGAACAAAGTGGATATCTATCTCTATATGCTTAGTTCGCTGATGTTGGACGGGGTTGCTTGACAAATATACCGTGGAAATGTTGTCATAGTAGACAAGAGAAGCACGACGGAGGGGGCAATGGAGCTCTAAAAGCAAGTTGCGGAGCCAGCATGTTTCGGCAACAACATTTGCCACGGCCCGGTACTCGGCCTCGTCACTAGACTTAGATAGTATGGCCTGTCGCTTTGTCGACCAAGACACAAGATTGTCGCCCAAAAATACGCAGTAGCCGGAAGTAGAGCGACGGGTGTCGGGACACCCACCCCAGTCGACATTCGTGTAAGACACCAAACGAGTGGGCGGCAATCGGTAAAGATAAAAACCATGATCGGCAGTGCCTTTGAGGTAGCGAATGATGCGTTTTAAAGCATTGAAGTGTGGCTCACGGGGCGCATGCATAAATAAGCATATTTGTTGGACAGCATATGCGATATCGGGACGAGTGAAGGTGAGGTATTGAAGGGCACCCGCAAGGCTGCGGTAAAGAGAGGGATCAACAACCGGATCCCCATCAAAGGCACTGAGCTTCGACTTGCAGTCAACGGGTGTCGAAACCGGCTTGCAATTAGACATCTTAGCCCTGTTAATAATTTCTTCGGCATATTTCCGCTGACAAAGGAACATACGGCCACGCGTCCGGGTCACAGAAATGCCAAGGAAATAACTCAGTTTCCCTAAATCAGTCATGTCAAACTCGGTCTTGAGAAAAGAGATTATATCAGAAGTGAGGGTCGCAGAAGAGGTCGTTGACACAATGTCATCGACATATAGCAGAAGATAAGAAGTGGTCGAACCCTGACGGAAGATGAATAAAGAGTTATCACTCTGGCTACACACGAAGCCAATCTACAATAGAAAATTAGAAAACCACTGATACCAAGCCCGAGGTGCTTGTTTAAGACCGTAGAGAGACTTTCGAAGGCGACAAACATGAGTTGGAGAAGATCGGTTAACGAACCCTGGAAGTTGGTGCATGTAAACAGTCTCTTTAATAAGATCACCATGAAGAAAAGAATTCTTCACATCAAGCTGATAAATAGGCCCGTCATACCCCCAAAGCAATGCCCAACAGTACGAATAGTAGTCGGTTTCACCACCGGGCTAAATGTCTCATCACAATCCACGCCCACCTGTTGTGACTTGCCATTAACAACAAGAAGAGCCTTGTATCGCTCAAGATCACCATGTTCCTTGAATTTATGTTTAAAGAGCCACATACAACGAATAACATTTACCCCATCTGGTTTGGGAACAAGATCCCAAGTGTGTTGTTTAGTAAGAGCAAGAAATTCCTCATTCATAGCGGCATTCCAATTCAGGTCAAGCAAGGCAAGTTTCAGGCTACGTGGTATGGGTGATATATGTTGGGCCGAAAGGTTAAAAGGAACCTTGGGCTTGAAAATACCATGTTGGGCCCGGGTTTCCATTGGATGAGTTGGAATAGGGGCAGGCCGAGTGGAATTTGTGGTAGGGGTGGTGTAACCGGGTTGGAGTGGACCGTGTTTGGGCTTGGGCTGAACTAGTGGGTAGTCCACGGTCCAGATGTGGCTGGTTGAGCAGGCCCACACCCGTCTCGTGGGCTATTATGCCCACTGTCACGCGAGAGAGAGAGAGGCAGGGTTGGTTGGGGGATTGGGGAAGTAGGAGGATTGGGCTCGGTTGGAGTGGGCTGCACATGAAACCCATGTTGAAGGAGAAGTGGATTAAAGAGAGGAGAAGTGAATGAGTCCATGAACTCATATTCAGAATTTCTGAATTTTTGTATATCCGAGAATGGGAAAATTTGTTCCTCAAAAATCACATGATGAGACACTATGATTTTATTAGTAGAAAGATTGTAGCAAAGATAGTCCCTATGAGAGGTAGGATATCCCAGAAAAATACATGGAGTGGACTTTGGTGCTAGCTTATGTGGAGCCGTGGCAGAGAGATTACAATAGCATAAACACCTGAAGATCCTAAGGTGATCATAGGTCGGTGTGCGACGGTAGAGGACCTTAGTTGGAGTTTTGTTTTGCAAAGTGCTAGTGGGAAGGATATTGAAAAGATAGGCAACCACATGAATGGCATAGACCCAAAAGGAAGGAGGGAGAGAGGCGTGAAATAACATGGTGTGTGCCATGTTATTAATGGTTCTAATGGAACGTTCGGCCTTCCCATTTTGGGGGGGAGTGTGGGGGGCATGAAAGCCGAAACACAATGCCATTGGTAGCACACATTTGTTTGAAAGGAGAGTTATCGAATTCACGACCATTGTCACTTTGAAATGTTTTTACTTCTCTCAAATTGTGTGTGAACATATGACCGAAATTAATTGAGGGTAGAGAACACTTGAGATTTTAATTTTAGGGGAAATAACCACAAAAGGTGAGAATAATCATCGAGAAGTAACAAGTAGTACTTGTGACCCAATTTGTTAGTAATGGGAGAAGTCCATAAGTCCATGTGAATCAAGTCAAAAGGAGACAAAGTAATACTATAAGAAGTCTTAAAAGGGAGTCTAACATGTTTCCCCAAAGGACAAGAGTAGCAAAATTGGGTATTGACCCCTTTATTACATTTAATCAAATTGGCATTTTTAAGAAAATTAAAAACTAGAGCTTTTGGATGTCCCAAACGGTTATGCCAAATTGAAGGAGAGATAGCAGCGAAGGAGATTGGATGATGAGAGCCTGAAGCGGAAGTTGGAGAAAAAGGATAGAGATCCCCCACACTATTGCATCTCGCTAGAGTTTTCTCCGTACATAGATCCTTCACAGAAAAACCAAAAGGATCAAACTCAACAAAAACAGAATTATCAGAGGTAAACTTTCTAACAGAGATCAAATTTTTGATGACGTTAGGGGCATAGAACACATTATTGAGTTTAAAGGGAGGGTGTATGGGTGGTGTGGTGGATGAGCCATAACCTCCAATTGGAATGCGATTGCCGTCACCAACTAAAATAAATTGAGGATTGCTCATATTAAACAGTTTAGAGAGATTACCCGAGTTACGAGTGAGGTGGGAGGATGCGCCTGTGTCCATATAACAACCACTATCCGGGGGTTGGATGCTCATGGTGCTATATGCTTGACCGAGATCAGTGGGCGACATAAGAGGGCCATAAGAATGTTGTTGTTGCTTCATAGGAGCAAAGAAGGCTTGCTGAGATGGTCTGGAGCCCAAAATACCTTGCTGAGGACGTGGGCTTGAGGTGTTGGGTGGCCCGGTAGGATATGGGCAGGGAGGGAAGCCCATTGCTGATGTTGTTAGTAATATGGTTGTTGCCAATATTGTGGGTCGGCCCATTGAGGAGCTTGTTGGCATTGGGCATTTTTTTTGCTGATTATTGTACCCTTGGGAGTTGGAGCGACCACCACGACCTCGACCCTTTCCCCCTTTCCAATTGTTGCGGCCTTTGCCACGACCATCACGACCCTCACTGCGGGATTGGGAATCCGGTTGCTGCTGTGGCGACAAGTGGTGTAATGAGGTGGCCGGAGGTTGTTGGGCAACCAAAGCTTGCGGGTTGGACTCCTCTTGTTTTGCCCGCCTTGTTTCCTCAAGAAAAAATTGTGATCGGACTTTGTTGAAGCTCGGGAGAGGGTCCGACTGTTGAGTCATGGTGGCTAAGGTGTCATATTCGCCCTTGGGTAAACCCTTGATCAATTGGAGAACCATCTTTTTGTCCGAGACGGGATTGTCGACATTTCCTAGTTAATCGCCAAGCATTTTTAACTCGACCCAAGAGGAATATTGGGCTTCCTCGTTATCAAGAACAAGGGGGATAACGTTCTTGATATTGTTGACAGCCATGGTAGGATGAAAGTGAGAGGAGAGAGGAGGTGGAGGTGGTGGGACGTCATCATCACCGGCCATGGTAGCAGCTAGGGAAGAAGAAAAGGGCAGGACCCTTGGATTTCCAGGAAAGAAAAGAGAATAGGAAGAGAAAGAGACTCTATGGCTGTGATACCATGTAGAATTGTGTAAATCTCCTTGAGGAGAGTATTCTCATTAAGTCATATATATAGGTAATTAAAAGACCTAATACAAGGAGAATATTCCCTTACATCAATACACAAAATATCTACCGAGAATGCATAAGGTCATTCTCTAACACAAACTTCCAAAAATTTTAAAAGGAAATAACTCATAAACAATTTTGCTTACAAGGTACGTTGCATAAGTATAATTAATGACTAATTTTCCAAAACAAAAATATATGCATGTAATATGTATATATTTTGACCGACGCATCCACTTATAGTCATATACTCATATTATAGCGTAACTAGCTCGTTGTTTGGGTCGCTCGTCTCCCTCTGTGGTATAGGTTACTGTGCTAACAGGCTAAGTAAAAAATTAGTCGAAACAGCTGATTACCTAGCCTTGACTTGTTCTCTTCAACTTATTTCAAATACTTATTACTTATTCTTTAATAAGTTCATATCAGATCAGACCATATCAAAACATTTGATTATCATTTACTTATCGTTAATTTTTGTATTAAAAAAATTTCAAAAAATTACATATTTAAAAACTTCATGGTGAGACCGTGAGACGAATCTAACAAGATCCATTTTGATGATATTTTTCTTTATAGATTAGTATTAAAATGCGGTTAAAGTTTAATCAAAATGTTAAATCAGATCAAATTAGACACAATCATAAAAAATCAAATCAGATTATTGATGGGCGTGAGAACGGTCGCACATTCCACACTCAATCAAATAAATTTATAAATCCTAAAACTAACCCCTAAACAAGTCTAGTGGTAAGTTCGGAGTCGAACCACAAGGAACGGTAATGCTAGATTGTTCTTAATCTAATGCTTAAGCTATGCCGAAGTCGATTTACGGATAAAGGACACTACAACTACACTAAAATACATATAAAGAACAAGGTATGATAAAGTCTACTAGGGGAAAAGATCCACTTTGAACAATTAACAAGTTAATGGGAATCGATTTGATAATCAATCATGCAAAGAAAGAATTAAAATGGGAATTAATTACCATCAAGAGCAATCTCTCAAATTCCTAGCCTAGATCCCTCATTGACTAGGTGCATAGAAGAAATTTACCCAAAATGCAATCAAATATATCAATTCTAATTCACAATCCCTTGTCAAACTAAAACCAATATGCAATTAAGTGTGCTATCATGGGAGATCAATCCAATCTAAAACAAACAACATGCCAACATCAATTCAATCAATTTAATCACACAATTATCATCAAATTTATCTCAAATAACTCAATTAACCATAACAAAGCTTCACTCAACACCTAGTAGAAGGAAATCTACTCAAACATGATTAACAAAGCAATTAATAAAGCATAAAGAGAGAAGAGAGTAAGAAATGCTCATTGATATAAAATGGAGATCTTCAAATCATCAAATTCCTCCTTTGATTATCCAAAATCCATGAAAACCATTGTGCTCCTCACTTTCTCTCTCCAAAATTTGAGAGTTTCTCTCTCTAAAAACCTAAAACTAACCTAAAAACTATTCTAAACTGAAAAAATCTCCCCCTTTTCTTTAATGAGTAAAAAATCTATTTATACCCTTTACAAAATTGCTTAGGAAGCTCCGCAAAAAGTCAGCTGAAACGGGAAAAGGTCCGACCGAACTCTGTGTAGGTTCGGTCGGACTCAGGGTAGGTTCGGCCGAACTCAGGGTAGGTTCGGTCGAACCTCCCTGATCCTTGTTTGGTCGAACTTTCCTGGTTCGACCCCTCCTGTAAACATGCTGAAAACTTGGTTGAAACTGCCTTGGAGGTTCGGTCGAACTTTTCAAAAGTTTGACCACACCTAGGTTCGACCGAACCTCTTAGAGGTGTGGTCACACCTCCTCTTGAACTTCCTCTTCTTGCTTCCTCTTCTTCCCTTTTGCTCCTCTTGTCTTTGTCCATGCCTCCATACTTGGCCAAGGGGCCTCCTACCGTGCTTAGGACCGTCATGGAACCTGCAAAAGATAGCAAAGATCACGAGAGCATGGGGATGATAAAATTATGCATAAAGATTATCAAAACAAGCGCAAATAAGCATACTTTTCATCCATAAAAGAAAAGGAAGCCATAAGAGGAGAAAAGAGGTAGAAAACCTAAGAAAAACAGGAGAAAAGAGACCAATACACTACCCCTAAGGGTAACATAAATGTCACTCATCAAACACCCCCAAGCTTAACTTTTGCTCATCCTCGAGCAAAACAAAACAAACACAACGGAAAACGATGTATATTTTTTTTTTAAAACTAGAAGAGAAAGAATATACACTAACTCACTTTCGTAGGAATCACGAATGCATTTAGCGCATGCATCAAGCACTTTAAACCCCATAGATCGCTCTAGAGGACGAGTAAGCTCTCGTAAGGGTGTCCTAAGAGTTTAACCCATAACTCTTGACAAAAATCAAGGCAAGGCAATAAATAAATAAAATAAAATAAATCGAAGTAAGAGAAAAGTTACAAGCGTTCTAGAGTGGACTTTTATGATGGAACAAACACTAATGAATGTCAATCTTTCTAAAATAATAAAGGTATGCACGTTCTAAGATGTCCAAGGTTGATTGAAACATAACATATGCTAAGCATAGAGAACTAAAGGAAACACATTCCACCTTTTGTTTCAACCAATCAAACCACGTTCTCTCTACTAGTTTCAAATCCACTTTCAAGTTAGCTTCTCATGATTCCACGAAGAAACCGGAAAATAAATAAGAAATTAAAAACATTGAGAAGGTTACCCGACATCTTGGCTATGCAAACTTGCTCTATAGGCTTGATTCCTATTTCCCGCCATCATTGAATGACTTAACCCTCTAGGATCAAAAGGACTTTCAAGGTATTAACATATAAGCTAGGAGAGTAAAGGTGTGGAGAACTCTTGAAATTGGTGGTAAACCTATGTGAAGCACGGGTGGAACTTCTTCCACAAGATCCAAACGATTCCAAAACAAAAGTGCCAAGTATGCTTATTAAATAACTTTCCCCCAAGCTTATTTAACACAAAATAACAAAAACAGGGAGAACAACAATAACAAAACCCCTTTTTTTGTGCTTTACATTCTTCTTTACTTTTTTTTTTCAATAATTCCTTTTTCCAAGCTTTTTCTTTTCTTCTTTTTTTTTTTAAATGTCCTTGCCTCTTTTAACTTTGGACGGCTTTTTCTCAAAATGTATTTGGTTTTATGCAAAAAATTATATACAACGCATACTTGCTTTGCAAATGAACTTATAATTCTAAACTTGCACCATAAACAATAAAACAAGCTCCAAAACAAAATTGCTTCACAAACTAAAGGTAGGATTTAAAGTGAAACTAAGGCTGGAAGGCTTGTATTAAGGTTAGAGAAAAGAATGTATATGGCTCAAATGGGCTAGTAGTAGGGGCAATTGCAAACCAAATCCAAAATTGAAAATTAATCCTATAAAAAGAGAAATGTCTTTGTCATCCCCTAAAGTGGCACGGTCGCGATCTTGGGAGCTAAAAATCAAGTTCTAGATATGAGAATGCAATAGCCAAGGATCCAAATATGCCGCTCAACAAAGTATGATGAAGGCTAGAACAATTATACATCACTAGGGATAGCAATAACTAACTCTTGATTTCATATCCACTATAGAGAGCAACTCCATCTTACCACAAGCAAGTGAACTAGAGCTTCATGGTCCCAAAGTTCTTAGCCAACTACCTTAGCATACCATATCCTAGAGTCAACCTAACACATTCTCAAACCCTGCACACCTCTAAAATTTAAGAAGAAAGACATTCAAGAATACAAGTCCAAAAATATTATGTCCAAAGCAAGAACAAAAGAAAACACATTGCAAATTTGCCTTGATAGAAACAAAATCTTTTTGGAATTTTCAAAATAAAGAAAATGGAAATGCATATACAAATGTGCATGGCATATATGAATCAAAATTCTACCAAACATGATAGAATACCCTCCCCCAAGCTTGAATGAGGCAACATGCTCAAACTTTAAACCAAAGAATCCATGGGAGGAGAAAAGAAAGAAAGTCATCCAACCAACCAACATATGTCCAACAAGTCACAAATCATTAGAGGAAGAGCAAGGAAGGATATTACCGGATTTTAGGTGGGTGTATATACCCGCAAATGACCCAATTAAAATTTTCAAAGCCACTCTTCTCAAGAATTGAATCTTGTTTTCCATATGATAGCAATTGTGGTGCCAAACTTCCTTGATTCTTGATCCAAATCAATGCACCAAAGTATATCAAGTTATGTACCTAGAAAAAGGCACACAAACATTTCCATGAGAGAAAATCTATTCTAAAAAGAAAAGAAAATGAAAGCAATAAAACACGGGTTACTTCCCGAGAAAGGCTTGCTTAAGGTCCAAGCTTGACCGCTCTAGTAAATAATATTGCAACGATCGCAAGAGCTTGTCAAATGCACTACTACACATCTCATAAGATAACAAGTAAGCAAATGATATAAGAAGGGCATGCACCAAGATTAGTGCACGCAAAAGAAGGTGAAGAGGGAGTTTCCAAGAAGAAGAAGAATCAAAAGAAAATTCAAGAAAATAAGAAGAAGAATAGAAAGGCAAACTCTCTTCACAAAAATCTTTTTGGGTGGCAAAATCACCTTTTTCCTCAATTGAAGACGAATGAGGGACACAAAAATCTTCATAGGCAAGGGGGTCCCCAATAGGCTCATTAACAAAGAAAGGAAGGGATATAGGAGTGTAGGGGATATGGTTGAAATTCCTTGAAAAAGGGACATGAGAGAAAGGGATAGGAGCAATGGTCTTACAAATGGTCTCTTCTTCACCACCATTCCTCAAATCACCAATTTGAGCATGAAAATCAATCATAGAATCCTCAAAAGAAGAACACTCATGATCATGATCTCCCTCAAACATCCAACTTCCAAGAGGAACTACATAATCCCCTTCACTACAATCATGAACAACAACTCCCTCAACTTCCTTAAAGCCTAAAATCTCAAAGCCATGCATGAATGGATGCAAATTCATTTCAAAATG